AACTGTATTTGAAACTCTATTGACCGACTCTTTACCGAAAAGTCGGCACATTATATATCATACATTCTCATACATGTGCGAACCGTTGACTGACTCTCAGGCTGATCAACTCGCATGAATCCAACAGCAAATAAACTTCAACTGTAAATTACTTTTGAATTATTTTGAAAACTACCATTTGCAAATATAATTTTCTTTGTAAAGGCATGAAGCGGCTGGAAATACAAGTAAAAGTTAATATAACTTCTTGATCGGTAACGTGTTAATTTGTTAATTTTTCTTCGGTCTCTGTCTTTGAAGACAAAACTTATAATTAAACACGCAATTGCATTCGCACATTTGCATTCAATAATGCCCATTGTCTTCCAATTCCTTTGTCAATTTCAACCCGGTACCGCACTTTGATATTTTCCCCCGGCGACATGATTATGCACGTAGGCCTCTAAATCAGCTAATTGCTGACTTTCGAACTTTAGACGATGACGTGTGAAGTTGTTTTAAACGTTTATTAAAACTGTAAGTGACTACTTGTCATGATAGAAATGCAACATCACGATAAAAATATCGCAAATCTTTAGCAAAGCAAATGATAAACTATGAAACTTAGAAGCCGCTAAAYGTAGATCTACCCTCTGGTAAAGCTTAGCATTATTAACCATGTTACTGAAACAGTGTTGTAATTGAATATCGACTCGTCTTGTACAGTGATGAATTATAWAATAACCGCAATTCCACAAGCATTGGCTATATCTATAACAAAGGCATCTTCTTAATGTTTYGATTTCAAACACGATTGGAAATCGGTGCTAACATGTAATTTCAAATAAAAGCAAAAACGAAGGACTTTTTTTGCTATTTACATTTATTTACTGCTTTACACCATAGTCATTAAAAAGGAGAAAATCTAAGGTTGAAACAAAACAAATGTTCGCGATGAGTCATTAAAGGTCATTTTTTTGTTATGAATTGTCTTCAAGAGAAACTTTCAGACATAGAGAATTAAAAAAAAAATGCTCTTCCCCACCACTACCTTGCTGTATTAGAATCAGGTCRTATACGTTCATTGTTTTCGTTTTCTAAGACGGCTACACCACTCTGCGCTTTCTTGATCTTCATTTTCCTCGCCGGTATTTTCTGTTTGATTATGAATATCATCGTAATCAAGATATGACTTTGCAGTATCCATCTCTTCAGGTAACTCTTTTCCAAGTTCTGTCCTGCATTCTGGACAGGGAACCCCGCACTTGTGACATACAGGCATGCTCTCACCAAAAAGAGTAACGGCGCTTGTCGGTGCATTATTTATGAGGTAACCTTTTTCAGAAAGAATCGGAAGCTTCCGGCGCCACTGATCTTGACACCACGTAACTATTTCTCTCGTTACCGTCTCTCCAGGTTTCCAAAAACCAATTGCAATTTGAACATCTCTGGTTTCGAGCTTTTGCTGGAGGTGTGAGAATGCTTGCGCCTCTAACAACTTGCACATAAGGCTAGCCACAATCTTGTGTTTTCGATTCGTGAATACAATTTTAGCCTTCTTCCCTTTAGGAATCGACAGCCCAGCAAGCAGGATATATTGCCATAAAGCAATATCATACAACTGCCGTAAGAAATACAATTTGTTAGACGAGGGCATTTTGAGCATCAAATGCATTAATATCAATGCCACACATGCGGGAACTGATGTTCAGACTCCTCCCACAAGAGCGGCACATCCTATATATGTAAATGAATCACTTAAAAACTCTTACATCTTTCGCATTCAAAACTTAACTCAGGAGAATGGCTTCACGAGCAAAACCTTCATCAAAACGTTTACCGTCTCAGCTAACAGAGCTATTGGACATCGCTATATTTTCATTTGCGACAATATCAGGATTGCGCTCGGCACACAAAGTGCGCGGCGACCCAATAATTGATGGCGTGTGTTCACTGTTTGGGAGAATGATAAACTGTGCGAGTCAAGAAACCAAATCAATTTTTGAAGAGGTTACTTCAGCTAGACTAGGGTGTTGGCAACCGGGCGATGAGGCAACCAAAGAACTATCAACATTTGTTTCTTCGAGGCTGAAACAGGCCAAAGAAAAAGATGATATAACACAAGAAGATGAGCCACGTGCTCCTGAAGCTTTGCTGCACAAACAGCACACGTATGTCGAGGAACAAGATCGCCTGATAACAAGGACCCATCCTCAGTGCTGGAGGTGCAGAAAAAGGTGTAGTTTCTGCAGATTAGAACGGAAGAGCTCATTCATTTCATCATTGAAGGGAGAGTAAGTGTCAGGGTTTTTTATAATTTAGTAGCAACTAGAAACTAAACTTTATTTTTATTATTATTACTGCTTATTTCAACATATAAATGCTTGCAACTAGTTAATCTTCATTTTATGCAAGTAAGAAAAATAATATGACTTAAAGAAACGCTTAATGAAATAGTCAGAAGAACTCACTAATCCATTTCTCTTTGAACTTTTTAGAGTTCTTATGAACCCTTTTCTCGATGTGATGGAAGAGATGCTAGCAGCCGATTCATCGATAGCCAGTGAATCAGAAAGTGACGAAGATGACTGTAACATCGTCATTGCTCAAACAGATGTCCAAAATGGAAAAAAGCTGCTTCAACAATTATCGTTAGGTGCAAACCTTTCAGACGATGATAGCGAAGCAAGTGATCAGATGGACACGGATGA